TATCTTTTGTTCAACTTGCATTTTTATGTATTATTTCTCTTGAAGTTGAAATATGATCTAAAACCTTTGTATTTTTCTCTATCTCTACTGATTGATCAGATGATCCTAACACACGAACTATGTATCAAAGCTGAGAATATTTCATTCATTTTTTGTCCAATGTTATTCCGTAGTTAATTTCGCATATTTTGCATTAGTCGATATTTTCGTCCGATGACATGATATGATAACTGTTTTTGTGATGAGTCGTAAGAGAATCATACAATACGTTCAAAATAATCTGCTCCTTCCTATAGACACAGAAAACGTGAAGTTTCTATAAAAAGGACATCGGAGACGATGGTGAACAACAACTATACTTCAAGAGCTAGGTCTCTTCGAATAAAAATATCAAAGATGACTTTATGAATCTCTTGACACACGTGAAAAATGAAAATAAAGCATCAATAATCGAATATTTGTTTCATGCATTCTCATGATCTTATTGTAGGTACCTCCAGAATCTTATATTACTCAACGCTATCTAATCATTACTCACGATGAATATCTAATCGATCTTCTTCAAGAATTCGATGTAGTTTATTGAATTTCTGGATCTATTACATGGACATATCTTTCTTTTTGTAGGAAATGCCAATTCTCACTACTTATTTCGATATACTAAAGGATCATTTTGCTGAGCTTATGAAATGATTGTAAGAAAAATTGAAGTGAACAACAAATTGATTGACTCCATTCATATAAACAGTAATAATGCACTAGAAAGATTTTGACGATGTCTTTTTGTAAAATTTAGAAAAAAGGGTTAAAAACAGTTATTATTAGATGACATCGATATTTCTATCAAAATGTATCAGATGAAATTCAATGGAAATTCTCATAAAGCGATGCCAGAAAACATGCATAGCAGTGAATCTAGAGGTAAGCTCGGATCGACTTTAGGATATCGTGTACATGTGAATCGCCTATTTATAATACATGGACACCCACATCCACCCTTATTCGAGTGAAGCAAATGAAGAATAAACTTATTTTCGACTCGATAAATACTTGATATCGATGAGAAATTATTTAAAAGCAGAAAATCGTATATAGTGCAGAACATTATCAAGTCATATATTCACTCTGTGATGATTCTACAAGATTCAAGAAATAAATAGATGATGATTCATCGGAGATAGTCTATAAACAAAGGATGAAAGAATAAGTCATTATCGCTTAGTTAGTTTGTTAACAAAGAATAATTCTTGTTTTCTTCTAGATTATATTAGATTTTCAAATCGAAACATGAATATTGATCAGGAAATATAAGTTATTTAGAAAAAAACAAGCTTTAATAATATTAGATTTTCACATAGTATGTCGATTAGTTCCAGCGAACATTTATCCAACGAAATTGTTTTTGAAATATTCGATTATCTGGATGGTATTGATATATACGAAGCATTTTCAAATCTTAATTGTCGTTTGGAACAATTTCTCAATTTATCATCTCTTTTATTTAAAATTAAACTTCAATATTCAACAGCGAATCAAATATTTATGAAAAATTATCAAAAAATTCTTCTTCACAATAAATCTCAAATATTTTTCATGAATGTATGGTTATCAGCATTAAACGATCAATTTTTCACATTTTATCCCATCAATTTATCGTTTAATCATCTCGAATCACTAATTGTTGAATATCTTGAGTCAGATATATTCATTTCATTTCTCACTAATTTAGCGTACTTACCATATCTTTCTTCGTTATCTATGAAGACATGGAATATTTCTGCAAATTTAAATGATATTTATTGATTAATATTTGCTTTACCGACATTAAGATATGGTAAATTTTCTTTATGTACAGACGACAGTTCAATTTCACTTCCAATGACTACTAATCAACAATTGAGTACTATCGAACATCTTGTTATTAATCATTCTTGTAAATTCAACGAACTTTTTACTATATTATCTTATACATCACAACATTGTCGTCTCAGTTTTATGGATGCCTACGACGATGACACCAATATTGGAATTATGTCACCAATAACAGTATTAAATTTCACACATCTTTCTTTATATATATACACTCTACGGCATTTGACGCTTTCGAAATATTCATTCGAAAGATATATTCAAAATTAAAAGTTTTACATATTACTATTCGATCGGATAATATTGATTATCTTGATAGTATTCGATGGAAAAAATTGATTTTAGAATATTTACCTCAATTAGAAAAGTTTTATTTCGATTATTATATAGAGTTTGAAGATGATACTAAACCTTCAAAATATATTGGACAATTCAATCAATTCTCTTCATCATTTTGGATTGATTGACAATGGATATTTGAAAGTAAAATTCATGTGTACCAAATTATACATTCAATTCGTCCTTATATGTATGTTATCAAAAAGAAAATACATTCTTTATTGTCATTTGTTTTTTCTTTTTTACAGGAAAAGATGGTATGAATATAGACAACATGATATTGTTAATTCATCAATTCAACTGTCTAAATCAGCTAATCTTGAAGTTAAGTGTATTATTCCTGATCAAGAAACGGCATTCTTAATTTCAAATATTAAATTAGTTTTAACTGTAGCAGATATTTATCATCTGGAACTTCTTGATAGAGAGATCTTTATTAGTACATTAATTGCAATCATATATTCATTACCTAAACTTGTTTCATTAAAACTTCATTTCATTTTCACAATCACGAAATTTATCTAATAAAGAAGTTAAAAGATTTTTATGCATATCAAAAAGAAGTAAAATTACGAAAGTTTATTTCGAAAAGACAAGTAATATGGAAGAAGTTCATCTTCTCATGCAACCTTGTCCTCGTATCAATTATCTTCAAGTCAATTCTATTAATGATATTAATGTCGAATTATTTATACGAGATATTTTAATGAAAATTAATAATTATAGCAATGAATATCTTCATTTATTGTGTTTTCGTGTTCCAACTGTAGATGATAAAATGATTAGTGTGAAGAAACTGTTGATAGATTATGAAATAAAACGTGTAATTGATCATATTTACTTACAATGGAAATGAACATAACAAACGTGGCATTTACAATCTGTACTTAATTATTAAAAACTATCGTTTTTTTTTGTCATTTTACTCTTCTTTATATTATATGTTATGAGAAGAAACGTGGATTTGAAACACTGTTTCACCGAATCCTTCTCATACGGATTGCTAATGTTCTTATTCATTTATTTATTTTTATTTGTTCTATGTTGTGGTTATTCTATTATTCACTTGGGGACATGCTAATTATCGTTTCATTATTTCTTTGTCTTCCTTATTTATGTGTATATAGTTGTTTATACTTCTTGTTTTCTTTTCACTTCTATTTATTCTATGTACTGACAGGATCCAATTGATTATCGGACAGACTAGTAAAAAAAAACAAGTATGATATTCATTTTTTGTAAAAGATTGTTTGATAAATCAATGAAAATTTCAGTTATTTCAAGTTCATATGATTGAAATTCTATCTGTAACTTGTATGAATCAATTTTCAACGAGAAATATATTTGGTGTTAGAATAGTGTTTTCTCTTTATCTTTGGTAAACATATTCGAAGTTGTTCGAAAGACTTTCTAAATAAAATCTATGATCTAGTTCGATATGATTGAATACAAAAACTTCAACAATGGAGATCTTTTTAAAAAATATTTTAGCCTTTTAGGTGTACGTTGCTTAGAAATTCGAAGTGCCACTATCAAGTAAATTTTGCTTTTTGCATATCAGAAAAAAAATCAATAATATCGATTTTCGAAATCAACTTTTTGCTTGAAAACTTCTTTTTTTTTTTCTGTCATTGCAAAGAAGATTTATCTGGAGACCTGTGGTAAAAATTATTATCTTTATCATATTCGCACGGAAAATGAATCGAACGCTTTCTCGTGGAAATCTAACTCGTCATTATTTCATTCTGTTTTTGACAATGAGTGGGTGTAGGTGTGACTAATTAAAATACTCGTCTCACATCCACACCCTACTGAAGTTTAATCTTATGTTTATCACTTAAGAATAAATGATTTCGAAATATACTAAATGCATTGACGATAATCAAAAAAAAGTTACCGATTAATTTAGAATCTAAACTTGAAATTTTGATCTAAAACGTTTCAGGCTCACTTGTTAGCTGTTTACTAATGAATGTTAAAAACTGATAATGGGCCAACAAGCCACAAATCGTTTTCCAACTGCATCAATAAAAGCAATTTTTTCTTATATGAAATTGGCTACTCTCTAGTCTCATGCATCTTTAAACAACAAATATAAGTCTTCATAAAAATAGATCTAAAATATATAAGTCTGTTACAAAATCGAACAATCTATTCATTCACAATATTTTTCAAAAATAGGCTGTGGATGTGGGTCTTGAAAGCTAAACATCTCACACTCACCCTATATCTGGAGAACAGTTCATCCATTTGAGTTAATATTTTCAGTTTCCTTCTAATGTTATCAGATTTCTTTACTGTTAAAAAATTGGTGGGATAAATTGAACAAGGCTGAGCAGAAAATGGTCGTGACTTAGCTACGATGACTCCTACATTACTCCATCTATATGTTCGTGAAAGTAAAGTCGAATATTGCATAATTTAATATCAAAATTGTCAGTGCAAAAACCTCTATAAATCCGAAATTTTCAATGGAGGTGGATAGGGTCATCAGATCGATCTGGCAAGATTCCATTGATACATCCTTATGCAATCTTCCCTTCTAACAATATTTAGATTCTTTAAAAAAATCAATCCTTAATGTAACCTGAAAATTCTTCTTTGTTCATTGCAATTAAGTATCACAACATCAGTATTTATCAAATAGGTTTATACACAAATTATTCTAAAAACTTTGGCTTCTGATATGTGTTTCTTTTTAAGTGATTTAAATCAAAAGTAATTTATTGAATTTATTTTATTGTGGCATGCCGACAATGTTTAGAAAGCATTAGTTCATGAAACAGTATCGATTACGCAAATGGAGGAATTGAACCACATGCATCTGGATCATCGTCACGAGCCGTCTTGAAATCACAAATCAGTCCTCGTCGACATACATGATTACACTGGGATCCATCTGCATACGATTTTGTATAGTGTTTGTATACTGTACTCATAAGTGGTCCGTCAATATCATTCTCGAGTCTTTTGATGAAATTATCCCAATCAGTAGGAAACAAGTTCTCCATTTGATAGGCATCCCGAGCATTATACTCATTTTGCATAATTGTTCGGTTGTAGAGGTTCGTTGCAGTTAAATTCATAATGACTGTACGATGATCGAGCACCCAATAGGAACTCGACGGATACTCACCATCCATTGTATAAACACGATAGCCCGGATTCAAGAATGATTCGGTTGTCAACGATGGCGCTATGTAAGCCTACAATTTTCAAGAATTAAACAAAAAATCTAGATACACAAGTTCTGCTAGCGATGGAAATTCACTTACCATCGAAACAGGTCGTTGGTGATCATTCTCATCATAGAACATGTTGAATTCATCTCGATGTGTGTGACCATAAAATTGACCGGAGATCGTATTTTCAAATCTATTCAACGTATAAAAGACTATAATAACGTATGTTCTCGAACGGTTTACCGATTGACGATTCTATTAAAATTCCAACCGAATGCTGCAAAACATGTTCGTGGTGGATGATGGGCGATAATGTGAACCTTTTCTCCATGGTCTTCAGCATATTGTAACCATTGTATCAACTAGAAAGTATCAACAAATGTTACTACTTCTATTTTTTTCTCATCTGATAACTCACCCACTCAAGTTGATTGAGAGGATCAGTCGAATTGATGAATAACCAATAGTTATCCGACGCGTAATAATTCGTATTGAGCGAAATCAATCGTAGACCGGAACGTACAATTGTTGTATAGAATCCGCCACGAAGAATACTTTCGCGTGTATCATTAGGTAGACCGAATGTATTTATCCAACTATCGGCTAGTGCTTGATATAGCCATGAAATATTGTCCGATCGAATGTTCGGTGTCGGAAAGAGATTGCACGGAGCTATGCAGAACAGATAGAGTAGAATGAAGGACAGAAAGAGACAAAGCTTGTACCTGCTTCATGATTGCCGACGGCAGAATACAACATTTTATTTGGAAATGTCGTAGCTAACAAATTATTGATTGTATTTATTGCATAGAGTTGGTCAGCACGAGATTGATTCCATACATTGTGAGGTGGTGTATCGCCAGTATAGTAGATGAAATCAATCTGATGGAATAAAAAAAGAATAAGAATAATAAATCGAATTTTGTCAATAACCTCTTCTGTTTTTGCGCCATATTCAAGTATGGCTTGAGCCGTCCAATACGGTATGTCACAGTGAAGACTGGTTCCCCTAAAAAGACAGATATTTCATACCGCATATTGTTAAATGATTGAAAAGACATACCAGAAGCCAGCACCCGGATGACCAGGAACTGTATTTAGAAATGGGACCTTTTAAATAGTGATACATGTGTATACAAAATACTCACGAGGTGGACCTTTTCGACAGCACAATGGTTCAAGGCAGTCTGCTTCAGATCCTGGCTTGTACTCAAAATCCACGTGAATATCGGCCAGTTGTAGCACTTTCAGTTTTGGCGAGTCCGGCTAAAGCGTGAGAAAAAGTGTGTTCAGTATAGAACATAATACTCAGCAGAACAATAAAGAACTCAAGATCTTTGATGAATCATTCTCAATTTGGATTCGTGCTTTTTTGTGAATGCTATACTGTTCAATACATTCTTTCGAATACACACACTTACTGAAGGTGGTTTTGGTGGTTGTGGAGGTGGTTTTCTGTCAGGAATAGCAACACTCCAATTCAACACAGGATAATCAGTTTGTCTATCGCAGTTTAGAGCAAGTGAACATAGTGCCTTATTACTGAAATGCGTTAGAGCAATGACTTGAAAAATGGCATCCTATTTTCAAGAAAAGAGATGATATGCAGATGGATAATAATAATGAATATTTCACTTTGTATTCGTGCACAGCACCGCTACAAACATCGAGAACCAAACCAAATTCATTACAAATTTCAAGAGTCACATTTTCAAGGCGCTCCGTTTGATTGACATCGATGAGTATTCGAATCTAGTACACACACAATCAAATATGAAAATATGAGAAAGAAGAAATTTCACTCACAACAGGTAGAAGAATATGGCATATTTTACAATATAGGTCCTCCTCATTGATATGTTGCTGGAACATCCATCGAAGTGCCTTGATATTGTTGGAATGTTCGAAACGATATCGATAGTTGGCGAGAGTAGTAAACAATTCTTCATGCTCATTTGTGAGACCGTTCACTAGTTGATCAACAGTATCCTGTTGAATTGCTCTAGCATCGATTGTCACATGAGCAAAAATAATGAAGAAGAAGAGTAGAGAGACTATTTGCGAAGTCATAAACAAAAAATTGACAAGAAATGAAGAGTGGACTTGGACAAATACGAACTGACATAACAATGTTTGATAATCATCAACGTATCTTTTTTCTCTAGGGCAAGGATTCTTTCAGGTAACGT